TAACTTTAAAGTAGCTAGGTTTCTTCCCCCCATCTCTGCCTTCTGAACATTTGTATTCTGTTATTTAGTGTGCTGTGGAATTTCAGATGTGGATTAAGTTCTTATTGCCTTTATGGTGACCATAATAAAATAATATGGTCTGTCCACGTTCCGCTAACAATGCGTGTGTCTGCTCAAATGTAAATTTATTTACCTTTTTAATATAATTTGTTCATGTTTTTAAAATTGCCAAGTATGTTTCAGAGACTAAATTAAGTACAATGCCATCAAAACTAACAGGAAGAATAAATAAATTAGAAGTCTAGGTCTTTTAGCTTTTCAGACTTTCTTAATATTTATAGGCTTGAAAGCCTTATTTACTGTCTGGAATTCAAATGATCTGCAGCGGCAGGGTCTCAGATGAGTATTAATTCGTAAGGCTTATTGGGAGAAGGAACTGCTCTGAAGTTTTAAGACCTTGTTTGACTTGCTATGTTGACTTTGATTTTTAATTTGTGCCTTGTAGTTTTTGTGTTGAGATAAGGAATAGATGAAAATGAGTGTCTAGAGAGGGGATGGCAGGAGAAGTTTGTATGTCCATGCAAGGCTTCTAGAGATCTGATCCTTCCCTCTCATCTTCCCAGAATTCTCAGAAGTGCTTCTCAGAAAAATGTATTTAAATATTTTTATCGGGTTTTGAGGTAATCTCTGTATTCAGGAGATTGACCCTTTCTGGTTTGGAATTTAAGAGTGAGAAGTTAAAAAGGGCCTCTATTTTACACAATTTTAAAGTTTCAGTAATGTCATTTGTGTTACCAGCCAGTGAGATCCTTGTTATAAGTGGAGTAAACTATCTCTAGCATTTTTCAGTTCTCTCAGTAATCTCTTTTTCATTGTGGTTCTCAAGCACCACGGTCAATGCTTATGCTGTCACAGCTGTAATGGTACACTGGAGTGCAATAAGCTGCAGATTATGGCTGATGCCATTAGTAAATGAGATTTCATGAACTTTGCTGTGGCTTCTCACCATCTCTACAGCTGTCTCTTCTGCCTCTGCCAGGTGTTTTCTGCCCACGCAACCGAGTTGGTAGAGGAGATGTGTGCCTGCGCCTCACTGCACAGAATGCAGTCTGACATGTTAGCTCACATTGCAGATGAGCAGGTGCTTTTTAGTTGAAGATTGAATCGCAGTTTGCAATGGAGCAACTAAGATGTGCTTGCTACACATTCCCTTCTGAAGCTGCTGTGGGAATGCTACCTTTTAGGAGAGGGGCAAAGCAGACAGCTTTAGGGATGAATGTTTTAAACGTTGCAGTAAGATGCAAAAGTTTGGCAAAATTCTAGGGCGTTTTTGCAAGTATAGCTGATTGTTCTGGAGGTGAGTGTGTGTGGGAGCTGTCTGCAATTTGCCTGTGCAAGTTTGCAGTCCTGGATAGCTCTCAAAATGGACACTTTGAAATGCTTTCACTTGAAACTGCTATAAAAAAAGCAAAAGGCCATCTTTCAGGTCTACCTTTCCTCACCTTGAGTTTCAGTTTGTGGGGTCTTGGGAGGAGAAAGAAGTAAAGCTGAGGACTGTACTAGCTTGTTGTTGTTAGGCTACCATTTACATTTTTGCTGCTAAAAATGAGGCTTTTTCATTTCCCTTCTTTTTGACAAAAAAATTCCCGAAGTCAGTGTTGTGTGCGTCTCAGTAGTTTCTTTCAAATCAGATCAGGAAACATTTTTGTTGCTTTGAATTTTGTTAGCATAGAGATTTTGTTAAGTCTGAGGATAAATTACTTTGCAGCTGCTTTTCAGCACAGAATCGTTTGATTAATGCCCTGAATTCAGAGAACTGAAATTTAGAAGTAAATCAGCCTTGCAGTTCAGACCAAGTTAATTCCATATTTTTGTTTGCCCTAGATCGATGCATGTTTCCATGGCCCAAGCGTTTTTAGGTTCACCTTTGCTTGGTCTTGCCGGTTTGTATAGAATGTTACTTGCATGGTCTGCAGCTGGCAGGTACCTTTAACCAGCCGATACATTCCCACATTGTTCTAATTCAATTGGTAGTTAATGTCCACGTCCTGCTCCCAAATTCCCTGTAATGCCTGGTAACCTCACCCTGGCAGTTTCTGAAGTGAAGCTAGCCTCTGGCAGGGAACTTAGATTGATGGGAGAAGCTTTTTGTCCAAGAGCATTGCAAGTGATGTGGCAAAGGTTTTGCTCATCTGAATGTAAGAAATAAGTGATGATGGGTGAAAGGGAAAGGTCGTGGAAACCAGTCAGTATGCTGGAAACTTTCTCTATTCTGATGGTGGAAACCTGATGGGAATAAAGTCATCTGCTGGTTTGCCTATAACCACTGTTTATACAAAAACAAACAATCAAACGACAGCCACTCAAAGAAACAGAAGAGGAATACTTTTTGTGTCAGGAAAAGGCAGTCGTGGTGAGTGTGATTTGACTTAGAGCTGGGGGAGGGGTTAGTTTGCTTTTGAGCCTAATACCACTACTTTTGAATAAGTCAGGTTCTCTGTCTGTTTTGCTGTACAGAGTGCCAGATATCACTGATATCAGTATCTGAAGATAGTACTGTTCACTTGCATTGTAAAATGTCAAGTTTGTATGTCTGCTTCAATTATTTAAATATAAATGTAGTGAGATGTAACTTCAGAGACTTCAGTAAGGTGTGCCGGTGTTGTTTTAAAGCCTTTTTCCCCTGTAGAATTCAGAATGGACTTGAAATTCATAACGCCTCCTTTATTTCATCCTCTGGAAGCAGGTATTCAGGATATCATTCCCCTTCTACTTCGAGTTTTTATGAACTTCAGTGCATTTTGAGTTCGGGGCTGTGCACGGTTGGTCAGTTTGACTGTGCAGCAGTTTGCAGTGCAGAGAGAGGCTTTCTAAACAGCTTGGCTCAGTGGTTACGTATGTAATGCTTGTAAACGGGCAGGAACTGATGATTTTATTTGTATATAGGCAGTATTTAAAATCGTTAAATTATTGATGTTTCATTATTTAACAGCACGGTTTCGTAGGCTACTACTTAATATTGCAGTAGTGTTTTTCAGCACTCTGCAGTTCTTTCAGTTGAAGTCTGCTACTAGGAGAGGAATAATATGAGATGTGCATGAGCAGGCTATTTTTGAATGCCTGACACACACAGTGAGGCATGAGGCCAGTGATTATCTGGTTTCAGCCTAGGCACGCACTGTTAACATATCAGTTTGTATTAATGACCGATACTGTCAGTCTCACATTTTAAAAACAGTATCTTATTTTGCGAATTTTGGTCATATCTCTTCGAACTAGGAAAAAATGATTTCTAACAGTGTAGTGCAAGTATCACTCTCGCTTTAAATATGCTGAAGTTCTGCCCTAGAGAATGCGCAATCTCAGATACAGAGCTGGTGGGACTGAGCTGCTTATTGTGACAAGAACTCCGTGCGAGCTTTACTCTTTCGGTGTTCATCTCGAAGCAACTCGGAGGTCTGTTTGGAGAGGACTAGATCCTCAGCTGTACTCATAACCTGTATAAATGTTACATATCCTCTGCTTTCATTATAGTGTCTTTTTGGCAGAATTTATTTGGATTCATATGCTAATTTGCACTTTTCCTAAATAGTTTCTAGCATAATAAAGTTTCTGCGTGGTTTCGGATAGAGTGGTTTTGAAATCATTGTTCAAATGCCTCCTGGTTTATTTTGGTTTTCCCTGCTGTGTTTGTGTTCCATTTATAACATGCTGTGTAATGCAGTAATCATAAAAATACTGGAAATGAGGTTTTTTCCCTTTGAAATGAGAAAGGGAACCTACCTCTCTTCTGTGAAAGTATTTTAAAGCATTGATATAACGTGCTCGGTTGAACATATTAAGAAAGGAAATGCTATTGGAAGATGAATTCTTAGTTTCTTAGAGTCAAACTACAGTGTCTCTTTACAGTCTAGAAGATATATAGTGAAGGAAGCAAGATACAGTTTATTGATCTGTTTTTATTTTTTTCTTAAAGGTAGTCATAGTGCCTAAGTGTATGTGTATCTTTAAAAAAGGAGAGAAAATGGAAGAGAATGATAAACACTGAAATTGTTATTTATTCTGTTAGACTTGTAATACAGAAGAAGAATTTGTTAGTCCCTGATAGAGATACAGTGCAGTTAGTATTTTAGCCCTTAAGCGTACAAAGTTGTTTATCATTGTTTGTATTACTCGGATGACGTTACACGCTCTGTTCCTTTATGCCAAATGCAACATCTCGCAATGCTGTGAGGTCTTTGTAGTGAATATGGTCTTGACCGCAACTCAGGCTTGCATTCAAGCGTGGGGTTTTTTCCAGCCCTTCCTACCTCACTGGTTTTACTTTTTGTTATTAAAATAAATTTACAAAAAAAGTAGGTATGGCTTTTTTTTTAAAATTCTTTTTCTTGCCATTTGAGCAATGCGTGCGTGTGGAGGAGATGGTACTAGGCCAACTTGTTCTTTTGCATTTTGATCTTAAGCACATCAAAACATTTTCATATAGTGGACTTTGAATGAGATACCTGGGAATATGATCTTTGCTTTTTCAGGTATATAATGGATGGAGAGTACATAGAGAATACAGCATAGAGAGTACATACAGAATACAGAGCATTTTTTTTGACAAGCAGAAAATTTAGGGTACCTATTCTTGCCTTGTTTGTAGGTCCCTTGTTTTCCTCTCTCAGTTCATTTTGTGTGATGTATTTTACTGGAAGTGGTTTAAAAGTAACGTTATAAAACCTTTTTTTTTTGATAGCTGTTTTTTGGAACATATTTGCCTTTTAGTTACATGTATACCTCTGTGTTTCTTTTTAAGAAGTTGACTTGAACTAGATATTTCATGTTCCTGAAAAAAAAAGTGAAACTTTTTGCTTGAAAGCTTGTTGCCTGTTTTAGAGAAATTGCAAGTAATGCAACTGCTCTGATGAGAGGAAAGCAGATAATGTTGAACTGTGTGTATTAACATGTTTTTCCTTTCTGTTTCTTTTCTTTTTTTTTTTTTTTTTTTCCTTCAGGAGAGAAATAGAAACAAACAATAACTATGTGGAGATGTCCTGCTAGAATTACAACACTAATGATGTAGACTCTGGAAATGCCTAATATGTCTAAGAAGACGTTATTAAAGCTTTTTTCTGCTTAAGGTGACATCTTTGAACACTTTAACACAAAATTGACTCTTCTTGTAATGGTTCTCATCAGTGCATCTGCCCTTATACTCTCTCACCAAACACACTTGAGGACTGTACCTTCGTCAAGCACTTTCTGTCCTGAAGCTTTTACCAGTATCTGCTGTCTTTTGTATTTATGCATCCTAGCTAAGGCACAGGAGACCGAACGAATGCAAGGATTCATTAACTCTTTGAATTTGTTAAATACTAACTAACATTTAACCATTAGAAGTGGTTCAATGATGTGAGATTCACATTGCTTCAACTTAATTTTTTTCTTTGTTGTAGTTTTTTTTAATTGTCAGTTTTTAGCTATTCAACAGATTAAAAGCAAATCATGCCATATTTAGTCCTGGAGTAAAACTCAAGTCTAAATGTTCATGTGAAAATTATTGTAGTAATCTTTTAATATGGCAAAGCAACTTTAAGCTGCAGTTTAGCCAAATGAAACGTAACATAAAATTATATTAGAATGACATTTCCCTTGTTTCAAACTGTTTGGTGTAAGAGAATATTAATATGCAGCTTGGTGGACACCACCAGTTAATGCACATTTCTTTATTTTTTTTTCTGTAACATGTATACTGAAAAAAGTGCATTTGTCTGAGGAACTGTTTGTTTGCTACCACTCAATGAATCTCAGTTTTGAGTAAATGTACCTCAGTCTAAATCAGACTTTTTATGACCTTTATAACTACATTTAAAATAATCTTTAATTCCTATTTCTGGGTGTTTGCAAGCCTGACAGATTGCTATCATGAAAGTGAAAATTTACTCCTCTAGGTGATTCACTAGCTAAATAAACATAATTCTTGTTTAGCAAGCATATACTGTTTCTCAAATTTTTTTGTTTCATTGTCCCAATATCCAGGTGTTTTTTCCCGTTTGAAAATATTTTGAGAAAAATACTTTGATCTGTGAAGATGACATATTCATAGCCATGTTAACATGATTTTTGTTAGAACAATGCAACAAGAATTTTAGAATACATATTACACTGGGTAATTCTGTACTAGTTTTTAACTTCTAAAATTTTTTCTTTTGTTTCAATTATATAGCAGCACATTCTATCTGCTGGAAGAGAATATTAAAAAATGTTAAGCGGGTGTATTGACTGTACAAAATACTGAACAGCCTGTACCAAACTCCAGGGATAGCTTTCTCTTTTTAGAACGGCAGTGTAGAAGTCAGATATGTTATAGCTTAAAATAGCAATACCACATATTATTTGAACATGTTTCATGTCTTACTGTCCAACACATATGTTTATATTGTGTTTCGAGTCGTACTTTTACAGATTCTGGCAATCAAAGTTCTGGAGCTTATGTGGCAAAGGTTTGTTTTGAATACAGACAATTTTGCTATATTTTACTTTCTCTCTTCTTAAACCTCTTGCATTCTCCTAACCTTGCAAATACAAAAAGTTCAGTACATGCTTATTTCTTGCTCATTGTTTAAAATCTTGTTTGAGACTGTGGAGTAGTGGATATGAATCTTAGTTTTTACTGCCTGTTTTCTGGAAACTCAAAAGGGAAGCCACTCACATATTTTGAGAAGAGAAGCAATATCGCTTAAATGCAGATATGTAACAAAGAGCAAGTGGGATAAGGGAGGGATAAGCAAAGTGTATACTATAAGAGGAGACTAGGAGATAAAGGTTTCAAGCCCAAACTCTGTGAAATTTGGCTTGAGCCCAAAAATTTCTGCTTCCATGCATTCTGTTTCTTGCTAACAGGTTTTATAGCTATTTGTTTCCCTCTGTTGGCTGATTTATGGATTACTGCCTATTATTTCAACTGTCATTGATCAGTTGAAGTGACAAAGGTCACTGTTGTGAATCCAAAGAATATAGTCCTTCTGATGATCCTTCAAGGGATCAGCATGTTTCTGCTTCTTTGTTACAAAATTAGGAAAACGCACAGAACTTCCCAGTTAAAAGAAAGCTACTGTTAACCAGGCATTCAGGAATTGATTGCATGTGCAACCTTAGTTTACTTCCACTGCATTATTCATATTTTTGCAGGCTTTGTTAGTATTTCCTGCTTTACCCTTGCCTCTTTTATTCTAATAGCATGAGCATTGCTTTTGGATTGAATCAGGTTTAGTATAAAATGGCTTCATCACTCTGTTGCAGACTTTGAAGGCTTGGAAGATGAGACAGGATTGTGAGATAAGGAGGTGATCACATTCAGAGAGCTGTGACAGTTCTTATACTGTGCCAGGATTGTTAGCAAATCTACAAATAGAAGAGTTTCGTTGCTGATGGTGTTAGTCACGTTGCGACCGATTTGCCGACTGCTGAGAGTTTAGTATGTGCAGCTGAAATTAGAAGGAATTTTATGTGCATATAAAGTACTGTAAAAATAGTTTATAACATTGTAAAATCAGCTCTGGAGTGCTGTACTAGTTAATGGACATGTGAAACTTCTAGCCTTCAGCTTCCTTATGCACGAGTTCTTTTCCTCCAGAAAGAAAAAGAATGGTGCTTAATATCTCAAATAAATATAGAAATACATTTTTTTGGTCTGATTTTTCTATACAGTGAAGTTGTAATGGCTGCTTGCTAACTTGATACTGGAGGAATCAGGGGAACTCCTTTTCCGTTCCTCATGCCTCCTGCTTTGTGTCAGCATTTGTTTTCCTGTCATCCATACTGAGCCAGTTCAAGACATTTTCTGCTGGTTTAATGGTCTGAGCAGCTCTCTCTGAGGCTAGATGTTTGGAAGGGAGTTGGTGGGAGGGGAAGGAAGGAGATCTGTCCTTTCAAGAAGCACATACCCACTGTTGAGTAGGCTTAGCCGCACCATAACTGCTCGCCTATGGGTTGGTGAACCAGAGATGCAACAGCATGCTTAAAACTGGGAAAGGCTCCCCAAAGAAAAAAAAAAAAAATCAATTCTGTGTTCAGTGTAAGATTTCAGTAGTGCACAGTGAAAAGTGGTGTTATCAGACACACTTAGTGATACCAGGATGAGGGAAGAAATGCCAAGTATTTTTCGTTTTGACTACTTTTTCCACTTTGAAGAGACCTGAGAATTCATACAGAAAAGTTATTGCTGAAGGACTTGTCCTGCCAACACACGTGGGACAAATTAAAGTTGTATGAGCTTTGCTCACCCTTGAATGTCTCTCCACTTTGTAAGATCAGCATCTTTTAACATAGTTTTTTTCATATTTGACTTTGACAAGAAATAATACCTGTCAGTTGAATGCTCAAGTTGCTGGCTTAAGGAAAACATAGGCACTACTTTTAAGGGACTTAAAAATCCTTTTCCCCTGATTGGGGAAAAACTTGATATTCACAGCTAGACAAACTTCACTGCTTCATGTCTTTTACTATTCTAGGCTCAATTTGTCAAATACTTGCTTCTATATGTCCTCTTGCTCTGTTTTCTTTTTTGGATACTCTGGCAGTTTCATAATGCACTGTCTGCAAAACTTAGATGGATGCAAAAGCCCCATGCCAAGGTGATTCTCATCCCAGACAAATCTGTGACACCAAACAAAAGACAATGTTGAGCACTTGGCCAAGTGCAAATAACTTAATATTTAGGAGGAAATATCTTACATGTTTATCACTATTTAGTCAAAGTTCTATTTTGAAGTTTTTTCCGTATCACAGAATTTACATACTTGAAATATATTCCTTAAAGAAGCTTTAAACAAACTATTTTGATGTACAAGTATCAGTGCATCTTTCCTAGCTGAAACCGAGTTGAAGCAAGTGTTTTGAATTCTGTAAGTACCAGTTACCTAAATTTTTCAAAATTATCGGTGACTCTTTCATCAGAAAGACATTTAAATACTTCAGCTGATTGTAGTGCAGTGAAAATCCAGTATGGATAGTCTTTGAATTTTCTGCAGCACTGATTTGAAAAAGAATAATTCTAGGCGTTCAAATACAAATAATCTTTTAGGAATGGATTTTGTTACGTTCAAAGCCATCTGAACTCATTTTTCCAACCACTCTGTTAAGGAAATACACACCAGTTTTTCAGTGTCTTGTTTATTCTTTTGCCAGGTGAAGATCCATATAATTTACTAAAAAATTCAGAGAGATTGAGAGCAGTTCTTTTCCATTCAGTTACAGCAAAACCCGATTCAAATTTTGTTTGTTTTTGTGTGCATTACAGTATGGTAACTTAAATGAGAATTCTTTGGCATAAGAATTGTCCATTTGATCTTACGTGATCTGTTTAAAAATTTCAGTGAAAGTAACCTGTTCACATCTTTATTTATCTTGTTTTCAGCCTGACACGTCCACCATAGTTTAACATGGGAGAGGAAAGAATTTCTCAATGGATCATAGGAATTTTATTTAAATGAGTTTGACCTCATAAAATTAAAATATTAGTGTACAACTGACGTGTTTTCCTCAGAACGACTATTCTATGCTGTCCATTCTACTTCAAATATTTTAATAAACTGCATTTTAATATGATGAATATGGACCTTTCAGTTCACAAAGTTAAACTGGTATCCAGTCCAAGCTTTTGACAGGATTTCCCTTCACATAATAATCCTGAAGCATACTTATTAATGATACTTTCAGTGTCCAGGGATCTCTAAGCCAAATATTAGTAATAAAACTTGCTGTTTATTAATATAAGGGGATGCATAATGTTTGTATTACCTGTTCTTTTCTGACCTTGTCCTTCCCCACTAGTGGAAACCCGACATAACAGAAGTCAGCCACCAGCTGGATGTCTCCTCCAATCAATTTCCCTGTGTATTTCACAAGAAACTGTTTTGCCACACTGCAAGCAGAGTGCAAACGTCTTCATGTATCTTCCTCCAGAAATCTGTTCTTAGATGTTCAAGTGGCAGTGAATTTCTTACTCCCATCTAAGTAAGCATTCTTTCCCACTTCCCTGCCCTTTCTGGGAAGGTTCCACTGTCATGTCTTTTGTCTGCTGCTTCCTTTGGGTGCCTATGAGGGAAGCCTGGCATTGGATGCTGCTTTCACAATCTGTAAAAAAGTTCGACTTCACTTAATTCCCTCTCTGGACAGAGGAAACCTGGCTGAGTTTAGCTTGTCTCAGTCTGTCTCAGCCTGTTTGCCACAATGTAAATAGAGAAATATTGCTCTGATAACTGGATGAATTCAGTCTCCCATGTGGCGTATGCCATTTTGTTAAAGTTAACTCTGCAGCATTTTTGTTCAGAAGGTGGAAAGGGACGTATTTTCATTGGAATTTTAAAGGACCTACAGTTATTTAAATATGAGTGTCCACTCTTAAGTGTTATTCCAGTGGTAGTGATAACCAGTATGTCAACAGTGAGAGTTTATAAGCTGTTTGCGTATCCTGTGTGCGTTTGCACTTATCTTAATACTGAATTAACTTCCTCTGCCTGTGAAATTAGTTTGTAACACTTGAGGAAACTTTACTCTTTTTGTTGTTGTTCTGAATTTCATCCACTCAGATACTATAACACTGCATCTGCCTGCACGGGTTTACGTGTGTTTTGAGAATGAAGTGGATGTTCATGTAAAATGAAACAAGATACTCTAGACTGATGACTGTATTTTAAGTTGAGTTTGTGGGCTTTCAGATGAACAAGCGGCCTTGATTTGTGCCTCATAGGTGAAGCATTACACTTTAATCTTGAACTCTGAATTTATGCATCCTTTCTTTCCTGTTCTGCAAACATCTGAAAGAACCTCAGATGTTAAAAAAAGAAATCCTTGCTTTATGCTTAGACCAGGAATAAAGATTTCAAACTAAGCATTTGAGCAAGCTAAATGGACATTTAACTTTAGTTTGAGCTAAGCTATTACACTTCATCAAAAGGGCAAGATAAAAGATTGTGGATCTTTCATTATCTAC